ACTCATCCTCGAGCCCGATGCCTCGCCCTCAACGTTCCGTCGCAAAACACCAACCCGGAACGCAATCCAACCAGCATGCGTGGTGAGGTTACTCCGAACCCGTCCGGGAAAAGCAGCAGTGGAGGCAACTGGAATCGTGGAGGGAAGGGATTCGGAGTCGGTGACACTTCAGTTGCGGCTATTGGTCTCAGTTCCCTTGCGCTTCTCGTCGTGGCCGCCGCCGTGGCGATGGCGCCTCTCTGAGCAGCAACAGCATCAGCGGCTGGGCAAAAAAAAATGTGTGGTAGGATAATAATGTGCATATATGTGTATATATATATGTATGTATGTATATCCGTGGACTGTGGAACCACGCACTCAAGATGTATAACACGGTCATAATGCAACGTACCCACACAAATTAACTGCACCTCGGCTCTCCTTTTTTTGTAAGGCAACGATAATTCCCACTTTGTCTGTTGCCACCATTCCTGCGAAAGACATGGAAGTGGTTTTTGATATTTTTTTTTGTTTGTTTTTGGTGGGCCACCATTCTTTCTTCCTGGACTGTGCTCAAAGGGAAGGAGGGGAGAGTATGTGTGCGTGCTGGTCGTCCCACTTCTAGGTGGACGTGCCCACGCTTCAGCTTCACTTCACGGGGTTTGTGTTTAGTGTTTTTATGTTTTTTTTTGTTTTCTTCGTCGACTGCGCCCATTCCTCGCGCTGCGTGTGTGCCCTTCCATTGCATTTCTGTTCCTGCGCCTAGTTGTCATTCATGTTGATTTGCCGTTTCATTGCACCTTGCAGTCCTTCCTTTTTTTCGTTGTTTTTTTTTCCGTTGCAGGCCCTCTGCAACTGTAGGAGCTAACACACACACACACACGCCGTCACTCACGCTTTTAGCGGTGTGAACCTTTGAGGACGCGTGCAAGCACGAGGTTCGGGTGGCGGCGGCCCTCACCAACGTGCCCGTGACGCTCAGGCCGTTGTGGTTTGGCCGCGAGAACGGGATGGAGGAGGGCTGCGTCTTCGAGTCCGCCGCCATCCTGCAGTACATCACGCGTCTCGATCGGGCTGCGGATTCCTGCAAGGCTGAACATCGCCGGAGACCGGACGGGTGGAGTTGCAGGCAACTCCTCTGGTGAGGTCGGCCGACCGGTTGCGGTGCGGTGTGGGTGCCGTGTCATTGGATGGTTGCGGGCGCACTTTTTGTGTGTGCGCGTGTGGGGCCAGCGGGGTGGGTGTTCGCGTTGGGTATCTTGCGTTGGCTGTGGAGGTGGCTGTGAAGGCTTCGCTTTAAGTGTTGGTGAGAGGGCAAACAGACAGACCCGTTGATTATAAGTAAGGGGGAGTTTTTTTTTTTTGCGCCTTTCCGTGGCTGCAGTGCGCGACCGCGTTGGGTGTGCGGGGAGCCGCGGTTGCAGCTGCCCGTTATGGACAGCGGTGCCCGCCTGCTTGACTTTGGCGGTGTGCGTGGGATGCTCCGCGACGCAAAAGTTCTGATGGCACCGAGCGGCATTCCCGGTGATGGCGCCAACGTTACCGGCCGACAGGCGACGGAGCGCGGAAGCAAACATCAGGGGGCTTTTAGCGGTTCGGTAGAAGAAGTGCTTCTGGAGGGAATAGTTGTCTCCCAAAAAAATATAAGACGGAACGATTTTATTCGGACGGATTTTGGCCCAACATCCGTGGTGGATGAAGACACAAAATGTGCCGATGGAGGTGTTTGTGCGGGAGCGTGTGGAATACGTTACAGACCAGAGACTTCGTGAGGAAATTCTCAATTTGCCGTCCGACACAGCCATACAGAAAGAAATGGAAGCTTGGGCGCAAGCTTACGGAGAGCAGAGGGTGGCCACGCTGCGAGACTGGAAGGACTTTGCAGATCAGAGTATTGTCTCTCCTATTACACGGACAAAACTGAAGGCAGCTCTTCAACAGGCGGCGGAGGAGGCAGAGAGGGAAAGGCGGGCAGCCGCGGCACCTGTGGTTTTGGATGAGAGGGTCTACCGGTTGGTGTTGAGTGCAACGTGGGACTTACGTGGAGTCGGGCCCCTTTGCGGAGCCGCTTGGGATGAGGGTGGTGGGTGCCGCTTCCAGCAGGCCTCAGATATTGTGGAGTGAAAGTGATGTGGACGTCACACCTCGTTTCGATCAGATTGAGGAGGAGGAGGAGACCTGTGGTGTGGGGCTTGAGTTTCTTGTGCTTAGATCTGCGTTTGCGTGGGCGTGCAATTTTTTTTTTTTGCCAGATTACGAGGACGTATTTGTGCGCAGGGATGTGGTGGGTGTGTTGAGGAGGAGTGCGTGGTGAGGGATGCGTCGGTGGTGGTGGGGCCCAATGCGGGGAGTGGAGGGGACGCGGAAAGCTGCAGGAATATTTTCCCGTTTCACTTGAGGTCAAAAAAACGTTGTGGGGGTGCGGGTGTTAATGGAGAACTTTAAAATGTCCCGCCTGTTGTCTGCTCTGGGAACGTGGAGTCGGTCTGCAGCTGATGATCTTGAGTGCTTGGGCTGCGTGGCGTTTCTGAGCAGCGAGGGAGAAACGCGGGCCAGCGTGTTGGCGGACGGGCATGCGGTGGGCCGCTTTCCAAGCAGGCCGTACCTGCTCGAGTACATGGCAGGTGAAGATAATAGAAAAGTAATAATCCAGACTGAACTTCAAGCCGGCGTTCTGTATATGCCCAACAAGTGCTTTTTCCCCTTGATGGACGCGTTCTGCTTGGTCGGGTTGCAACCAACGGAAGCTGCCAAGAAAAAAATAAAATTTGGGCGGTCGCGAAATGCTGGCGCCGGTGGGCACAGCGGTGCGGAAAGGGAAGTGACGTTCATCGGGCTGCAGGTGACAAAACAAAACACCCACCACACCACTGCCGGTAAGGTGGCTGCGTTTCTGAAGTACATGACGTGCAACTTCAAGGGCTGGGAGGCGCTGAGGGAAAAGATGAAGTGGTAGATCATTTACATCCAGCACGCTGCGAGTGGGCCAATCAACACACGTGGCGGGAGTGTAGCGCCGTCGCGCCCTGAATGCTGTTCAGCGTAAAGAGGAGGATAACACAGCTCGTTGTTTTTTGGGTGCCGGAAGGTGCGTCAGTGCCGGTTGGCGATGTCGTATGGAGACGTACGTGCCGTGCGTGGTGGTTGAAGCGGTTTCTTGTTTTTCACTCAGCCTCTTTGAGGTGCCTCACTTCCATGACCACCGCGGTGTGGCTGGGAGGCGGGCGATTGCATTTGGGTTGTTGGTGGCGATGCCACTGCGAGAGTGTTTGTTTTTGTGGCCGCAGAGTGAAGGCATCATCTGTGTGTGTCTTGTAGTGGTGGTGCCGCGTGCGCCGTTTATTTTGTATTGTTTTTATTTATTTGGTGTTTTGTTTTAAATATTACCCCCCACTCCTGCTGCAGTGTGCTGAGGGAAGTGGGGGGCGTTGGGGATTTTGTGGGGGTCGTGATGGGAGGTCTTGCCGGCATGCGCACTGCTTGTTGGCGCTGGCGGGGTTTGAAGGGGCTGGGCGGGGTAGACGGTAAGCGACGTGTCCATGAATTAGTTTTGTTGTTTGATTTATGCGGGGGACGTCCCACACTGCGGACACCACGTGCGGGTGCGTGTGGGTGTGTTTTCGGGTGGCGGCGAGTGTGTGATCGTGCGGCTCGCGCGTTCGTCGGTGCGGCATTTATTATGGATTGTCACTGGTCTTTGCTCGATGCCTAACTGTGGGCGCGGGTGGTGACTATCCTTGTCTTCCTTTTTTTGT